TGCAGCCTCAGCTGGTCTGGAACTCACTATGTAGACCAGGCTGGCTTTGAACTCACAGAGAGCTGCCTGCCTCTGTCTCTGACTCCCAAGTGCTGGGATTAAAGGCCTTTGCTACCATGCCTGGCTACCACCATACCCAGTTCACTCTGCACTCTTTCAAAACTACTTTGGTGACTGAGAGGAAAAAATGTATTTAAATGTCAGGTGATTTCTTTCATGATTATTTGCCTCTAATATTTCCTGAGATTATACTGATAACGCAAATTCCAACCTAGTAATCATCACAGCAAGTGCCTACCAGCACTGAGTCCAACAAGTAGCTTCCATCTTCAAAGTACTGACTTTCAGTTTCACCTAATACAATCAATACCTTCTGAAAACTGATTCTTGTTACTAAGGTCAGTTCTAACTGTATGGAGAAAGGGTAAGATCAGTAATTCTGGGGCTGGAGAGATGGCTCAGTGGTTAAGAGCACAGGCTGCTCTTGCAGAGGATCAGGGTTCAGCTCCCAGCACCCACATGATGGCTAACAGGCACCTCTAACTCCGATTCCAAGGGATCCTGTGCTGGACAGCTTTAGTGTCAACTTGACACACCTGGGTTGAGGGAGCCTTAATTGGGAAATTGCCTCCATTGGACTAGCCTGTGGTCATGTCTATGGGGCATCTTGTTGATTGTTGAATGATGTGGGAGGACCCAGCCCACTGTGGGTGATGCCACCCCTGGGCAGGTGGGCCTGTGTTGCATAAGAAAACAGGCTGAGCAAGGGCCAGGAGAGCAAGCCAGTAAGCAGTGTTCCTCCATAGCCTCTGCCTCCAGGTTCCTGCCCTGAGTTCCTACCTTGGGCTCCCTGATGAACTGTGACCTGGGAGATGTAAGCCGAATAAACCCTTTCCTCCCCAAGTTGGTATTGGTCAGAATATTTTGTCACAGCAATGAACAAACTAGGACAGATGCAAAACCCTCTTCTGGTCTTCTTAGGCATTGCACGACACAGGCAATACACTTACACGTACACACACACACACACACACACACACACACACACACACACATACACACACACACACAGAGATTGGTGATTCTACAGAAAAAGAATTTGAATATTAAATTCGAAACTACAATTATTATTTTAGAATCCTAGTGTTTTTGTCAGTGTTACATAGCTGGCACAACTGTAACTTGTGTATGTACCATGTGTGGAGTGAAGGAGCAGTTAAACAAGTGTGTGTAAAGACAATGTGCTATTAGTATGACCACATGGCTTACATTCTTTTTTTCGTCTTTTTGAGACAGGGTCTCGCTATAGCCCCAGCTGTCCTGGAACTCACTATGTAGACCAGGCTGGCCTTGAACTCACAGAGATCCGCCTGCCTCTGCCTCCCAAGTGCTGGGATTAAAGGCGTGTGCCACCACACCCGGCTTGGCTTACATTCTTTTTAATATTATTTTTATTTTATTTGTATGAATGTTTTGTCTGCACATATGTTAAGTGTATCACATGCACACAGGCCTAGAGAGGCCAGAAGAGGGTATCGGATCCCTCTGAAACTAGACTTACAGATGGTTGTTAGCTGTCATGTGAGTGCTGGGAACCGAACCCGGGTCCTTTGTAAGAGCAGCCAGTGCTCTGATCTGCTGAGCCATCTCTCCAGCCCCATGGTTTACATTTTTAAGGGTGTGCTTAGGTTTGCTTTGGATTATTGTGAAGAGTGAAGCAGCTCTAAGGGTGACTGCACGCTCTCCAGATCTGTTCTAGACTCCTCATTGGAACACACACATTGGGCAATTTCAAGGCGCACTTTAGAGATAAGCTCTGCTGGACTTCTGATAGATGCCAAGTAGCGAGGGGAATGGAAGGATAAAAACGTTCACATTTCCTCCTTTCCAGGTCAACTCACTCAATGCAGAGCTGCTTATCTAGGGTGGGATGCTTCCATGGGGGAAGTGAGGGAAGATCTCTGAGGCATGCTAATCAGACATTGAAGACACTCAAGAGGAACTGCCTGTGCTGGAGAGCTTCAATGCCAACTTGACACACACACCTGGGTAGAGGAGCCTCAATTGGGGAATTGCCTCCATTGGACTGGCCTGTGGCCATGTCTGTGGGGCATTTTCTTGACTGTTCAGTGATGTGGAGGGCCCAAACCACTGTGGGTGGTGCCATCCCTGGGCAGGTTGTTCTGTATTGTCTAAGAAAGCAGGTTGAGCACAGGACAGAGGAGCAGCCAGTAGGCAGCGTTCCTCCATGGTCTGTGCTTCAGCTCCTGCCTCCAGGTTCCTGCCCTGAGTTCCTATCTTGGGCTTCCTGATGAACTGTGACCCAGGAGATGTAAGATAAATAAACCCTTTCCTCCCCAAGTTGGCAGTGGTCAGAGTGTTTTGTCACAGTAATTGAAAACAAACTAGAACACTGACTGTCAGGCAGGCAGTTGGAGTCTTAAGAGTTCAGGAGTTTAGCACTATGTAATGACTGTACTTTAAAATCATCTAGAAGCTTTAAATCTATGGACAGCCAAAAATTGGGAACCTGATTTTGCTTATTTATTTATTTATTTATTTATTTATTTATTTCTTTTTGAGACAGGGTCTCCCTGTAGCCCCAGCTGCCCTGGAACTCACTATATGCACTGAAAATGTACTCTTTTTTTTTTTTTTGCCTTTTTGAGAGGGGGTCTCCTTGTAGCCCTGGCTGGCCTGGAACTTACTAGGTAGACCAGGCTGGCCTCAAACTCACAGAGATCTGCCTGCCTGTGCCTCCTGAGTGCTGGGATTAATGGCGTGGGTCACCATGCCCGGCTTGCTTGATCATTTAAAAGTTAACATACAGAGTTGCTATTTGCTGTACTGGATTTACTATAAAGTACTCAGAACTCCAGTTCCAAATTTAGGGAAGAAGATACTTCAAGTCTAGTTTTAGCGCTGTCCACTTGGGCCTGCAGTCTGCACTCCTTCACAGGGGTGGTCTGCAGTTCACCACTACTACATCCATTTTCTCCATCTTCTGTTTTCTTTTCTGGTCTTTTTGAGTCAGGGTCTCCCTGTAGCCCCAGCTGGCCCAGAACTCACTATGCAGACCAGGGTGGCCTTGAACTCGCAGAGATATACCTGCTTCTACCTCCCGAGTGCTGGGATCAAAGGTGTGAGCTACCATGCGTGATGAGATACTGATTTTTAAAATAAATTGTTACTGGGGGCTAGAGAGATGGCTCAGTGGTTAAGAGCACTGACTGCTCTTGCAGAGGACCTGGATTCGATTCTCAGCACCCACATGGCGGCTACAAACTGTCCTTTACTCCAGTTCCAGGGGAATCCGAATCCCTCTTCTGACCTCCGTGGCATTGCACGACACGGGTGCACTCGCATGCACACAGGCAATATACTCAATACACGTTAAAAAAAAAAGTGAACAAATTGTTACTGTACATACTAGATCTGATCCCAGCAATCTGTCTTCTCTCTTTAGTCTGAGGGTCACTCTGTAGCCAGGAAGGCCTTAAAACTTTCTGTCCTCCTGCTTCTGCCCAAGTGCTGGATTACAGGTGTGCACCCTGTATCTATTCTTACCAGTCTGGGTTTCTCAGCTTTGCAGATCTACAAAGAATCAGTTTTTAGTGTTAGTACTCTCTACTAGCTATTTCGTCAATTTTTAGCATAATTTATTATTTCTTTTCTTGACTTTTTTTTCTTCAATGTGATACTCTTGTTTTGTTTCTTTAGAAGTTTAGGGGGCAGGAGAAATGTGTAGCAGTTAAGAGCACTGCCTACTCTTGCAGAAGTTCAGTTCCTAGCACCCACATGGTGGCTAACAATCACTCTAGCTCTAGGGGACCCAACATTGTCTTCTGGCCTCTGCAGGCATTGCACGGATGGGTGCACTTACACACATGCAGGCACTCATTTTAAATGATAAAGCTTCTGCTATAATTAAGATCTTTCTGGTTTTCTGTGGCATTTGCTACCATAGGTTTAGTATTCCTTCTCTGAATGTTTGGTACCAGATGTGTTTCAGGATTCAGTGTTTTCAGATTTTGAAATATTTGTGCTTTAATCACCACCTTCCCTAATCAGTAATGGCCCCAAAATTTGAATTTTTTGAGCATCACATCAGTTCTCAAAATGTTTTGAATTTTGGAACATTTCAGGTTTTTTGGCTTTTGGATTAGAGCTGTCCAACCTATTTTAATTTCCCTTGAGGCTCTATATAAATGCTATTCCCAAAATTTTGGTGCCCTGTCTTTCATTTCAAATATTCGAACATTTCTGTTATGACTCCCACTCATCATACTTATTAGAGGATCTAGACCTTAGACTTTTTGTCTACCTAATGCAAAATTTCATTAAAAAAAAAAAAAAAGTCATGGTTCATTTAGCCCTAGAAAGAAAGTGGGCACAGCAGCAACCTATCCCAGAAAAGGTCACTCAGATCCTTTAATAGCAAATATTTAACATTCGGAGCTCTATGTGTTATCTATTAAACAGAATATTAGGGGGCTGGAGAGATGGCTCAGTGGTTAAGAACACTGGCTGTTCTTGAAGAGGACATGGGTTCGAATCCCAGGACACACACGGCAGCTAACAGCTGTACGTAACTCCAGTTCCAGGGGATCTGACAGCTCTTCTGTCCTCCAAGAGCACTGCACAACACGGGTGCACTTACTACGTGCAGGCAATACATGCATACACATTAAAAAAAAAATTAAAAAAGACACATAATATTAAACTGCAATTTATAATAGATTAATTACACTTTGTTTGTTAAATGGAAATCAGGGATTTCTTCTTTTTTTTATTTTGGTATTTTTGAAACAGGGGCTCCCTGTAGCCTCAGTTGACCTGGAACTCAGTATGTAGACCAGGCTGGCCTGGAACTCACAGAGATCCGCCTGCCTCTGCCTCTGCCTCCCAAGTGCTGGGATTAAAGGCTAGCGCCACCACGCCCAGCAAATCAGGGCTTCTTACTAGGATTTCCTCAAGAAGTCCAATAAAGAAGAGGAAAATTATGCAACAAATTTTATTTAGCATAGTCAGTCCCCACATTCAGCACAAAAAGTTTACAGAGGATAGAAAGTGCATTAATAAAAGCCAGTCTTTACCCAAAGGAAACAGAAAATATATTATTGATTCAAAATATTTTACACTTGAATGATAAACTGCAATAACTTATTCTGGGTACCTACGGATAAGAGAAAGGAGAAGAGAATGTTCTGAGAAGAGCTGGTGCAGCCGAGGCCAGTCAGTAGAGCTCACTTAGGCCTGCTGTCCTTCTCGCCTTCTGCATCAGTGCTCTCAGCTGGAACTGCTTCCGGGACAGGAGGCGCACGTGCTGTAAGAGGGAGGGGATTAATAGTTCAGAATGGTTTGATCAGGCTTCAAGTATCAGACAGCTTGTAATGATCCAGAGAGAATGTAACAACCCTAACCACACCGATCAACCTAAGAACCATTACCTCATTATACAGGGATTTAAAACCGATCACATGGCAGGATCTGGCTCCGGTTGTTTGGTTTGGCTTCACAACACCGAGGACTGAATCCAGAGCCCTGCACACAATAGGTAAGCACTGTGCCCTGAGAACCATCTTAAGCCCTGAGCTGAATCGCCAGACTCCAAGATACCAGGAAAACATACTATAATTCTAATCTAGGTTGCCAACTTGTCCCTTGGCTAAAAGGAAGGGATGGGATAAGGAGCACAGGACTAGCTTTACCCCTGGACCCACTGGCTAGAAAGCAGCACACTTCTCTTGCCTCTGTTTACATCTTTTCTTATGCCATGTCCCCCACTGGGTAGAGCATTCCCCCTGGAACTCTACTTAACACTCAGCCATTCACCTTTCTGCCCCAGACCTGAGGGACTTGGGTTAGCTACTCACCCACTGTGAGGCAGGCAAGATCAGCAAGATCCTGCTCAGCCTGCCAAGAACACTGAGGTACCATCAGACGCAGGATCCATTATTCAAAGGGTCACTATTCAAAGGTCACTATTTCTAGGATCATATTCTCCGTGACCCAACAGAAAGCAGTAACCGGGTATGGTGGCACATGCCTTTAGTCTCAGCATGTGGGAGGCAGAGGCAGGCCAATCTCTTTGAGATCAAGGCCAGCCTGGTCTACATACTGAGTTCCAGGCCACTTGGGACTACAGGAAGACCCTTGTCTTAAAAAAAAACAAACCAACCAACCAACCCTGGCTATCCTATTGGATTTCCAGTAAACAGCAAACACTCTTCATTCCAAAGGGAAGCCCATTCCTTCCAGGGTGTCTGATCTGGGAAAACTGGACTAAAATCAGACTTTCAACAAATAAAAAATGGGGGTTGGTAATAATCTCAACTTAGGTGGTATGACGTGGAGGAAATTAAAACCTCAATGTCTACCTGATGTGCTCCTGACCCAAGCAGGCACAGAAGCAGCAGCATGACACTGGGGCTAAGAGCAGGAGCTATTCATCCTTAAGGACCCGGGTTCAGTTCCCAGCACCCATTCGGCAACTAACAACCATCTATTCATAACTCCAGTTCCAGGGGATCCAACACCCTCTTCTGGTCTCTGTGGGCACTGCATGTACAAGTGCACTTACACACGTGGGCAAAACACTCACACACATAAAATTAGCAAAAAAATTTTTTAAAAATATTTTTATTTTATGTGTATGAGTATGTTACCCACACGTAAGTGCACCCATGTCATTTAATGCCCATGGAGGTCAGAAGAGGGCAATGATTTCCCTGGAACTGGAGTTAATGACAGTTGTTAGGTGCCACGTGGGTGTTGGGAATTGAACCTGGGTCCTCTGCAAGAGTAGCCAGTGCTCTTAACCACTGAGCCATCTCTCTAGCCCTGAAAATTTTTTTTTTTTAAAGAAGAATTATGCTTATCTCAAGGTACCATACAAAGAAACTGTCCTGGTTTGTGCTTTTCAAGTACCGTTACAGCACAAGTTCCAAATCCTGGAAAGCAGGGTAAGGAAGGCGTACCTTCAGGAACACATCCAGGTCTATCACTCCCCGCCTCAAGGCCTCGCCCAGGTAAAAGATAGTGTCTTCAATAGCATTTTCCTCTGCATACAGATTTAGGATCTGTTTATACAGTGGGGCTGTGGGAATGATAACTTCATCAATATCATTATTTTCAGATTGATTTTCCATTTTCTCCAGAGCAGAACTTAGTTCTTCATCCTTCTTTTTCAAAAGTTCTATGTTTTTATCAACTTCAGCCTGAAAACAGAACAGTCCAAGCATGGTAACTTTACACTAAGCAGCTCATAGACGAGATTTATGTTTCCAATAATTTACTGGTCAAAGGAAGAGGAAATGTGTTTTGTAACGTGTTGGATGAAAACAGGGTAATGGTGGAAATTCCCTGAAATGACTTTCAGTGACAGTCACAAACAGTACTGCCAACTAGACTTTCATGGTGCTTTCCAGCAGGAAGTTCCTTTACATAGAAATTCCCACAATAGTCCTCCAGTCTATGTAAAGGGTTTGAGGCGCTGAGCACCAACACTTTCTGTAGTTTCAAGACAGTGTAGGTAGGGGTTGTAGGCTCAAAGTCACACTGGTATCACATTCTTGAACTGAAAATAGACATCTACTGAGGCATTCACTTTAGACATAATAAAGTGTGAAGACTAAAGGGCACAGGCTGTGCTGAGACAAAGCTCTTAAGGCAACCCCAAGTGTCTCTGACTAAGGTAGAAAAGCTTGTTGAAGATACTTTCATGAAGGCGCAAACATTCTGAAATACATCTCTTCCTTAAGTATCCAATTCAAGGTCTGCAGGCCTTTATCATGTTTAGAACTCTTAAGTTCAAACTTCCTGGTACGTGTCTGGCAGTACCGTTTCCAGTTACACACTGCCTCCTAGGGTGACAGTGCAGTGTGACAGATGTCACTCACTCTCCAGCAGAAAAGCAGATACCAGAATGGCTCCACTTTAAAACTGCTGGGATGCTACATTCTCTCCTCTTCCCCACCCCCACCTTCTCTTTGAGACAAGGCTCTGCTATACAGCCCAGCTGGCCTCCAATTGATGACTCTCCAGCTTCGGTCTCAGTGCTGAGGCCACAAGTGCATCACCACCACGCCTGGCTTAGAGAAGCTGTTTTCAATCATCTAAAGACACTCATGGTTTTCTGATCTTACTACACACACATCCGGGGTGCATCTAGGACACTTTGCCATGGCTACAGTTCAGTCCCAAATCTGCAAGTCTTCAGTGAATTACTTACCACTTCTTGATCTAAACGTGTGACCATCTCTTCGAGTTTCTGGTGACCTTTTTTCAGGTCTTCCTCTGTTCGTTTCAAGGCATTGAGCTCTGCCTGGGCTCGATCCATTTCCTCCTTCATCCGCCATCTCAGTTTGTCACTGACTGCTGAAATGAGAGATGCTCGAATGGTGTCCTCGCTGATTGTGCCGTCTCTGCTGGGACCTGCAGAAAAGAAGCTCAGGTGCTCAGACCCTAGTGGAAGAGGACAGCCAGAACCTCAGAACATAGTTGACTGACACTGCATCCTCTCTCTCTGTAAGTGGATGCACAGCAGCTTTCAGTAAGTTCTGTGAGGGCTTTCTAGGGAATGAAGAAACTGACTGAAGGCAGTTTGAAATTAGTGCCAGCAGTGAGGGTGGTCTTGCAGGTCCTTAGCCTGGGGACTGGGGAAATGGCTCAGTAGTTAAAATACTTGCTGCTCAAGCCTGGTGACCTGAGTTCAATCCTGAGAAGCCACATAAAAAGCTAGATGTGGTGGCTCCACAGCTGAAAGCCAGCACTCCTACCTCAAGACCGGAGGCACAGACAGAAGATGCGCTGGAAGCCAGGGGCCGGCTGGCCTGAAGTACAGTGTGCACAGCAGAGACAAGAGACCTGAGCTCAGCAAGGCGGGAAGTGAGGACTGACCCTGAAAGTTAACTTCTGATCTCCATATACACAAGAGTTCATGACCCTCTGGACGGCAACCATTTCTTCACTTGTAAACACATCCAAGAGCTCAGTCTGACTTAAAGATTTAGCTATCCAGTCATTTGGATGGGATAAAGGCCAAACCAAAGCTCTGGGTTTTTTCACTGTAGCAATTTACAAAGTCCTTTTTTAAAAAAAAAAAAAAAAAAGCAAAAGGGGTAATTCCTAGTAAGAGTTTAGTTCAGGGGGCTGGAGTGATGGCTCAGCGGTTAAGAGCACTGGCTGCTCTTGCAGAGGACCCGTGTTCAATTCCCAGCACCCACATGGTGGCTAACAACCATCTGTAACTCCAGTTCCAGGGGAGTTTGATGCTCCAGGTAAATGCTAATAAAACCTAAACTAAGATTCTCTCTTATCCCAGTCAAAATGACCAACATTACAAAAGCAAGTTGGGGGCTGGACAGACGGCTCTGCTCTTGCAGAGGACCCGGGTTCAATTCCCAGCACCCACATGGTGGCTATGAACTGTCCTTAACTCCAGTTCCAGAGGAATCCGAAGCCCTCTTCTGACCTCTGAGGCATTGCACAACATGGGTGCACTCACATGTATGCAGGCGATACACTCCCGTACACATAAAAAAAAGAAAAAGAAAAAGAAAAGCGGGGCATGGTGGCGCACGCCTTTAATCCCAGCACTGGGGAGGCAGAGGCAGG